GGGGTGAACTCATTGCCTTTGTTACAAGCCCTCTCCTCTGCCCGATCTCTATCACTGCTGACAACACCTCCAGCCTCGCAGTCACTCAGGGCTACAACCTGGCAGACGTCTTTGACCCCTCTGACCTGCATGTGCAGGGCGTGTCCAAGTCCTGTCACATCACTCTCCATCATGTTCCTAAGATCCGACCCTTCTATCTACAAAACAAAAACTCTCCTCCATCTCCAGCCCCTCGTCATCTCCAGCCTTGGTTCCGGCAACCTCCTCCACTCTGGTCCACATGCCCCTTCTCGCACTCCCAAAGCACGAAATCCCTCCACAAGCTCCTTGTCTACATCCTCAGGGCCCTTCACAGCTCCACCTCTTTACTGATCCACTCAGTTCTCTTCTTGTGTTGTCCCCTCTCCCCTCCACTCTGCCAGGGATGGAGCACCCACCTGTCTGCATCTCTCATGCTGCCTCCCTAGTATAGAACAGCCCCCCTGAACCGGCCTGTTCCCCATTCCTGCTTCGTAGCCATCCTCAAGACCAACTCGGCCAAGGAACAATGGACCATCGGGTAGATTTGATGTGCATCTATTTAACATAACAGATGCATATAATGGTAGGAAAAAATGGTCCATATTTTGGTTTGTATTCCTTTATCTCTGTGTGCATGTGTGAGTGTGTGTGTGTGTGTGAGAGAGAGAGAGAGAGAGAGAGAGTGTGTATGTGTGTTTGTACAGTGCCTTGCACATTCTGAGTGCTATCTGAAGATCAATAATTCTCAATATCTAGAGAATGTACAAAATCACCGCAAACTTCCCAAACATTTGGTAGAGGAATTTTAACACATGGCTCCTGGCTCCATCCCATCATTAGCTCTTTGGGCTTCCCACCTTTGTTTGCACCCACAAAGATCTGCCAATAGGAATGTGGGCACGGAGGCCGCTACACACCTGATTTGTGCGGGCAGCTATTTCTAGGTGCAAATTATGCCTTCACAAAGGAAGCCCAGAATTTTTTAAAAAGTGAGCTTCAAATGTAATCCACATAGTCTCTTTCACATAAACTGCATTCCACAACCCCTTTCAGAATCCAGGCACCTTAACAGAAAGGACCAACACTGAAGACAAGAGAGGTCATCTGCCTGTGAAATGTCTAAAGATCCATTCAGCACCACATCCTCAGTCTTGGGTGTTGAAAATATTTGTCTTCATCCACGCTTCGGCACAGAGCTTGATTTTTAGGAGGTGCTGAACACCCATCAGCTCCCATTGAAAACCAGATCACTCGTTTAGGTGAAAACCACATTAGTCGTTTAGGTGAAAACCAGATCATTCATTCTAAATATAGACCATAGCTGCCTAGCGCTAGGCACCCAAATGTGATCAGGTGGGGCACAATACGAATCCGCAGATGAAACAGGAAATTCAAATATACAGCAGCAGAATTTGGATCAGGTTTTGAACTTGCCCAGAATGTGGGTGTGTTTGGATCTGAGGTTCTGCTTCAGATCCATCTCTGGCTACAGTACAGCACAATTCCTTTGCCCACACGAATCGGATTCCGTGGGCGAACTCACCAGAATCCTGCAGTGCTCCCTTCCTTTCCTCGGGCCTCGCTCTGCCTCACGGGCTGTGTGAGCTCCACACGCTCACCCGCAGCTGGCTGAATTTGGTGGATTTATAGCCATGGTGAGAGAACTTGTCTCCTCCCCTCGGGGGTCTCACAGTTCATCTGGGAATCTCTGCTTCCACTTTGTCCTCCCCACCCATCGCTGGCAGACAGAGTTAACTCTTTCTTTTCAGACTTGGGAGATAAGAAACTGTTCCTGCGTCGTGGGAATGAGAGATAGAAAAGCCATTTTCGGTCCCTTCTAGACCAAGATCCCTCAGCCACTGCAGAACTGATCACTACGGTACATTCCCCACTGCTCGGCCCAGTCTCGTTTTAAACAACCCAAGCAATGAACCCTCCACTACTTCCCTTAGGAGGCTGTATCCACCCCGGGGACTCCATTAGTGCCCGGAGTACCTTCACTGGCTACGCAAGAAGGTCACCCTGGCCAGACAAGTCAACTTCACCTGCTTTCTGGCTGAATATTGAACAGGCCGCAGTCACTACGAATACAAGCTAGCTACTGAACGCCACTCACGGGGAGAGGCCTTAGGAGTGCAAAAAGGCAATACAGCCTCACAGATATTTACTTAGCAGCCGGCCGCCTTAGGTTATTATTTTTAGTTTGCATTGGGATAGTGCTGAGAGGCCTCAGCCTGGAAACCGAGCCCCATTGTGCCAGGTGCTGTACACACCTGTAAGGAAATGGTGCCCTACAGAGTTTCACATCCGTGTCGGTGTTTCAGTTCCCGGGTGCGGTAAACTTGCTGAGGAGACGAAATCTCACCTCATTCAGCCCCACACTCCCCTGAGGCATTCAGTAACCCTGTGAACAACGCAGACCAATGGGGAGACATTCAGTGCAATGAGTGGATCCTCTTGAGTATAAATAGATCTACACTGAAAAAAAACCCAAAACATGGCAGCGTCTCAGAGGTTCAGGGTCGTGGGGTTCAGGCTGCGGTTCTCAAAATAGCACTGAACGTGTTCCCACTCAGGGTGAAGTCCAGGCTCTGGGCCTTCCCCCTTCACTGGCTTTCAGAGCCCAGGTTCCAGCCCGAGCAGAAATGGCTACACTGCTATCTTTAGCCCTGTACCATGAGCCTGAGTAAGTTCATCCATACTCTAAGGGCAGGTCTTCACTATGGGGGGGTCGATTTAAGATACGCAAATTCAGCTACGCAAATAGCATAGCTGAATTCGATGTATCGGAGCCGACTTACCCCGCTGTGAGGACGGCGGCAAAATCGACCTCTGCGGCTCCCCGTCGACGGCGCTTACTCCTACCTCCGCTGTTGGAGTAAGCGCGTCGATTCAGGGATCGATTTCTACCCGCCGATTCAGGCGGGTAGTGTAGACCTAGCCTAAGACTTGCTCCGTGGGAGAGGGGGGTTTGTGGTGTAAACATAACCTAAGAAGGGGCAGTTTCACCGCAGTGCTGGCACTTCCTGACCACAGTCCACCTGCCAATATGGCGCGGCAGCCATTCTGGTGAGATTTCAGCTCTTCCGCTTCCATTTCTAGCTGGACCTCAACACGGATGAGGAGCAGTGAAAACAAAAAACAATTCAGTGGGGTGGAGTTCCCTTGGCTTTTCAAAACCTTCATAAAAGCACGCTTACTTGTATCAATCTTTCATCAGCCGGAAGCGCTGTGTTCCCACTGATTTATTCCTGACCCCGCCTGGAGTGAAGCAGTTAAGTCACCAGGGCTTTGGGTTCTGAAACCCCCTGGGTAACACCCTCTTAACCAGACAGGGCACTGATGACCTCATAGTCCAACCTAAACAGAGGCCTGAACATGCAGGGACAAGTCTTCAAACGTCATAGACACTTTTGCACATGCACCCGCTCAGTTGTGCAGATCCCCTCATGCAGACGCCTTAGGGGGTATTTGCACAATTAAACTAAATTAAAATTACACACACACACGCACACACACACACACACTAGCACGTCCTCTCTTGAAGCTCAATCCCATATTATTGAATAGAGAAGTAGCTATTAAGCCAAGGGCCTGTAAAATATGAATGGGTTAATTTACTTTTACTATTTGTGGCCATAAATACCCCCAGGCAGGTTGTCCCGGCAGACTGGAGAATCACACAGATTGTGTGTGACTGTAGCATTCACTGAAGGTGAAGAAGATACAGCCGGATCCAGGTGAGTTGGGGCAGTACGGATTTAATCAGGGGCTCTGTTAATGCATCATTTTTAAATGTACTGGAAAAATTGGTGCCAAATCCTGTTCTCAGTCACGCTGGTGTAAATATAAAATGGTCCCACTGATTAACGCAGAGCTACTCTGGATTTACAGCAGTGTAACTGAGCTGAATTTGGCTCTCTATGAATGAACTATTTAATAACACGGAAAAAAGACATTGTGAGAATGGGAAGGACTCAGAACTCAAGAAATGCCAACGATAACGCAACCTGAATTCCGCCCCCTTTGAATTTCTTAGTCTTTAATGATTCAATTGCAAATTATTCCTCAATTAACACAACCTCAAATGTTCTTTTCTACAACCTTAGACACACACCCGTGTGGTAACACCGTGTAATCCTCTGGTCTCCCGTGTTTACTTGCACTACTTTTGGCATCACAACCGTCCAGGCTGCAGCTCTTTGGTGACTCAGACTTTTTTGTATAAATTCACTTCTCCGCGAGGTCTGGTTTTACATAAATTTCAGCCGCAGCAGCCATGGTCTCCCTGATTTCTTTTCAACCAGCAGCACGGCCTTCCTGCTCTAATATTGAAGCAGGGAAGCTGTCCCCAGGCAAATGACTGGGAATCGAATGCAGCCTCATCTGCACCGGCCTCTACCGCAATTCATGTATTACCAAGTGGGTTTCCATTTCCGGGGACTTTTTAAAATCTCCAACCGGTTTTGCATTTTAAACAAAATGGCAATTATTTTGCACACAAAGTGAATGAGATGCAGTTAGCTACGTGCGGGTCCAAAGAGTTGTCTGTGGGGACTATTGGAACCCACAGTCAAACCTGTCTAAACTGTGCGCAGAGAGACAAGGTGGGGGCGGGAATCTCTTTTTTTTGCCCAACTTCTATGGGTGAGAGAGGCCAGGTTCTGGGCCACACAGTGTCACGTGGCCTTTAATGTAAATGACAGTCAGGCCCTCTGATGTCTGTCAGGTGCTCAGCTGTGGTGGTGATGGAGACGAAGAAGCGCGTGGGGTGAGCTGGTAACGGAAGACGATAGGGAGGCAGAGCTGCTCAATGTCTACTTTGCTTCAGTCTCCACACAAAAAATAACATGTGACCGGACAACTAGAGAAGTTACCACAGACAATAAAGGGGAAAGGATGGAGATGAGGATAAGTAAAGAACACGTCAGAGATCTGACCAATTTGAATGAGTTCAGGTCAGCAGGGCCGGACGCTATTCACTCCAGGGTACTGAAGAAATTAGCTGAAGAAATCTCGGAGCCACCGGCAATAATATTTGCAAACTCATGGATGACAGGAGAGGTCTCGGAAGACCGGAGAAGGGCTAACGTAGTGCCCATCTTTAAAAAGGGGGGAAAGGAGGAGCCGGGGAACAATAGACCAGTCAGCCGGACTTCGACACCTGGGAAGCTACTAGAGCAATGTCTAAAACGTTCAATGTGTGAATACCTGGAGGATGAAGGGGTGATCACTGGCAGCCAGCATGGATTTACCAAGACCAAATCATACCAAACCCGTTTGATTTCCTTCTTTGACAGGGTAACTGGTTTGGTGGATAGGGGGAATGCAGTGGACATAATATACCTGGACTTCAGCAAGGCTTTTGACTCAGTACCCTGGAGTGAATAGCGTCCGGCCCTGCTGACCTGAACTCATTCAAATT